ACTGACTGGCCGGTCATGACAGAGGTTGAGAAGCAAGAGAGTCAAATGACTCGCATGAGGTGAGAAGTAACTCGTTAAACCACAAGCGACACATTTCGTCAATTTACTAAATTATTTCAATATTTTTGGGATCGATTGGCGCGGGATATTCGAATAACTTCAACTCATTACAAGTATATGAATTTATGGAAAAGCTTATGATAACACTTGGAAATTTTCTCGCGACAAGAGACTCTCATCCTGTTGAAAGACTTCTTTCTCTCAGTGTATGGACCCATTATGATGGAACGGGTCCGAAAATGCAATTTTTACACTGTTAGAAATTTTTCGAAATTTCATGGAAAATGTGGTAGTAATTATCGGGAGGGTGACATTGAATCCGATTTAAGGAAAAAATGGTTATAAAATTTCAAGTTTTGGGTAGAATTCAAGGAAATTCTGGGACAGAAATTTCACAGTTTGATTGCATTTTCAATGGATATATTCAGCAACAAACTGACATAAATTTTCAATTTTTCCCTGAATTTTCCGATTTTTCATGGAATAATTGCACTGAAAAATCAAGTATTTCAATGATTTCCAGATCATTCGAACAGAAAATTGATGGAATATTCCATTTTTCAATTACAAGATATCCTGAAATTTCGGTGGAAATTAAACATGGTGAAAATGTTCGGAATTTGACACGGAAAATTCAGACTAAAATTGTTAACAGTGTAGACCGTATCGGTACGTATGTGTGTGAGAAATTTCTTAATCTTAAGATTTTCTTCAATTGTGGGCTAATGAATCGAAAGAATTAAATTATTTCAGGAAATTCAGAAAAAAATTCATAAATTCTCTATTTTCCTTGAACAGTATTGTTAAAATAACTGGAAATATTTTTTTTATGTTCAAATCGAGACTTCGTCCCCTGAAAAAACAAAACTCCCTGCATAAAATCACAGGGGGCGACTGGGGCCGGAAAATTCTATAGAATCCTCGAGTACAAATCCAACACATATTTTGATTTGGTCCCCATTACCGGGTGTTTAGCCGTCAGTTTGCCTTCTTGACAAAGCGACTCGACTCTCTTTGGCAGTTTTCAGCGGACACCAGGCGCATCAGAGGAGAGCCCCCAGCCCGCACAGTTTTTTTTTCACCAATTATATACAACATAATATAGTGAGTCTATTTCACCTTTGTTGAGGGAGATTTTCGTTGGATAGTTACGTGGATAATCTCGCCGACATATTGCACCAAAGCCAAAAACTACCCATGGTTGGACGAGCATACGCCAAACCCGGGGATCGAATTCTCCCATTCAATGGACGCTTTCTTCCTTATTCTCTTTTTTAAAGAAGTTTTTTTCCCTCTCGGTTTAGACTCGATCGCCACCCAAGGTACAGAGTTGTGGATGGGAATATGTCTATTATTGAGACGCGGACAGATTTCTATTATTCTCGGGCATACCTACGTCCTCTTTATATTCAATGTCTGACATATTGAGATTCGGCGGTGGATACGTGAAAATTCAATCCCGAGTGTCGATAAAATGTTAGAATTTCTTCTGTCGGTTGAACAAATTTTTTAGCTTTCACATGAATTTGAAGCATTTTTTGTATTCTTCGGAATGTTTAAGCGCTACAATTGCAGATTATATTTTAAATATTAATATTATTCTTAAGATTTATATTTAATATTGATTCTCTTTTTTTTTTTCATATTCAGGCGCAACATTTGAATTTTTTCGTCAACTTTTAACATTAACAAAAATTTCTTATTAGTTTCCTTATATTGGGATTCAATTTCAAATTTTTATAGTTACCACGGTGTTTTGACGAAATTTTTTTGAACATGGACCCCTTGAATTTTACGATCGCCCTCGTGTCCATAGTTATTAATTTGCGGAAACTAAAAAACTTCACGCACTGCGCAATATAGTTGAAGTTTTTTTATTTCAAAAATTAATAAGTATGGACACTACACTGAGAGAAAAATAAACACGTTGTCAAACAAGTCTTATATAGACAAACAAAATCGCTAGTTGAAAATTGTCGAAAAAGAATTTGTTTGGTTCTAATTTGAAAGTCTCAAACATGAATGATTGTTCTGCTTTTGACAGCAACGAAATAGTTGGCTCAAGAGGCGGATAATTCACACCAGACGGTTCCTTTTCAGGATGAAAATATCTCATATACAGGAAAATTTATCAACAAATATTTTATCTCTAAGTTACAAGATTGCCATTATATCATTATTATTGTTTCATTTAAGGGTTTATCTCTTGTCTGTGATTATTAGACAGCCGAAACGAAAAATTACATTTTAAACATCAATATTATTCTTTTTCTCACGTCCAGGTACAATATTTAGATTTTTTTTAATTTTTTTAGATACCAAGTTGTTTTGACAATACTTTTTTAAACGTGGACCCCTTGAATTTTAGGGTTGCCCTCGTGTCCGTAGTTATTATAATAATTTGTATAAATTAAAAAACTTCAGGCACTGCACAAGATGCAATGAAAGTAATTGAAGTTTTTTAGATTCCAAAAATTAATATGTACGGACACAAGGGCGAGTCTAAAATTCAACACATGCAGGTACCGTTACTACTTAAGAAGAATTGTTCAGGTATCTCAATTGCCCAAACAATTTTTGGAATAATTATCACTTAATTACAATTATAATTATAATTATCACCTAATTAATTATCAATTAATTATACAAGAGGTACCGTTACTACTTAAGAAGAATTGTTCAGGTGTCCCAATTGCCCAAACAACTTTTGGAATAATTATCACTTGAGTCGGAACTAATTATTTATTTTAGAACTGAAGTTTTACATACGCAATGGATCTGGTCAATTTCATAGATTCCGGTTATGCTGGTAATTAATTGTCATCATTCAATGATTATCATCTGGTATCACTGATTCTCACTGCCTCACCCTTTCATCAAGCTTTCACATTCATGAGAAGGGGGATTAAGCATCAGATAATTCAAGATGGAGTCAGAGAGTCAGTGAGACCTAAAAAAATAGAGTACGTGTAATAGACCAAAGGCGCATCTGCCCTCGTCACGAATATGTACTTCATTGTGTTCTTCAGTCGACGCATACATGCCCTTTCTATTCAATTCACCTCAGGGGATTCGGTGATCGTGTTTTTATACCTGAAATTTAGGGCATGATTTCTGATTCTTATCTCCAATGTTTTTTCAACTCAACGATTTATTCAGAATATTTATAAATAATACAAGTTCATTTCAAAAAATGAGTTGATAAAAAAATTATTGGGAGATTCTTCTGTAATTGCCTCGAAAATAAAAAATTTTAGGACGATTTGTCAACAAATTTCGTTGAAGATTTTTTGTGATAAATTTTCATAAAATTTCTTCTTTCCAAATATATTTGGACGATCATAGATAATTCATTGCAATAATGGAACGATTATCAGAATTAAGAAAAGATCCACCGGGAAATTTCAAGGGCTGCAAAAGTAAGTGGCTGAATTAATTATCATAAACCTCTCCACTCCAAAAATATTCACAGAATACTTCACAGTTAAGGATATTCAAGTACTTTGGCCATTTTTTATTCAGTGAAATGCTTTTATACTTTTGCAATTGAATATCAGAGCTTTCATTTGAGCTCCTTGGTTTCCGGACATTTTACAATGTTTACAATTTAAATATTGCAGGTCTGAATTTGAATCTCGATATTGAATCGTTAGAAAACATTCTAAAAATCTGAAAAAAATTGGAAAGTTCACTTTTGAAGGAAAATTTATAAGATAATTGAAAATTTGCAATTTCGGAAAATCATAAGCATTTTTTTAAAGGAATTTGTAAACATTCAATTTTCCACCATAAAAATCATGTGTTAGGAATCGTAACAAATTTATTCACATTCAGTCTTTTACCAGAAAATTCCATGCCCAAAAAATAAGGTTTCCAAAAAATTTAAACATTTTCTATTATTTATCAGTAAAAAACGAACATTAAAAAAATAAACTATTCTGTGTAAAATGTAATTTGGTTGACGTTGAATATCCATGATTTTAAAAAAAAAATTCTCACGCCATTCAGTTGACAAATTTGATGATTGAAAATGGCTGACTCTGTAGTACTGTACCAGACTATGAAAGATACATGGATATCCTTAAAATGCTCAAGTATGATATTGTCGCAAATCAATTCACTTCAGGTATTTATTGTTTTCATGATTATTTTATGCACTTCCAATGTTTCGATGGTCTACAAATCAGGAAATTTATTTCTCAGTGTACACCCAAATTTCCCAATTGCCTCCGAACAATTCCTCATAAATAATCAACCCCCAAAAACCCAATTTGTGCCATTAATCCCTCGTAAACTGTCCCCAAAAACCCCAAACGGTTGCAGTCGAATGACCCCCGACATGACGTTGTGCAATACGAGGGCTCCAGATAATGTCGAGGACCGAGCAGTGAGGGGGAGATGGAAAGTGCCTTCGTTCTCGCGCGTCCGCACACGCAGATGAATGGGGTTGTGCGACAGCACAACCCCAGGTCCACCGGCCCAACGAAGAGGATGAACGTAAAGGGAGGTGGAATGTGATCTAGGGCTCCGCATACTGTTGATCAACCCCTCGAAGTGGACCTGCTTCACAGAGGGAGGCACCTACTGTCCTTTTTGGTGACGCCCCTTGAGGGGTAGGGAAATCCTCGACCAATCGCTGGGGTTCCTCACCCTCGAAACGGCATCCACACCGAACCATCAAAAAGTCTCGACTACCGATGACTGTCAGTCACAATTCATTGACGAGTTACCGAGGAAACAAGAACGTGGAAATATTCTTCCTGGTGCTGAATATTGTTTTTATATTTTGACTGTTGTTTGGATTTAGACAGAGCCTAGGGTAATCGCGCGGCCCTCGGTAGTTTTGTGATCTGTTTCGTTCATTTTCAATCAAAATTGAACACTGTGAACCTGTGGAGATTGACGTGGGGGAGATTTTTACCTCGCGCTGGATGAAGAAAATGCAGAGTCAGGAAAGCTTGAGCCATTTACCTAACACACAAACCAAAATGCAGCCCTCATCGAGTAAGTTATTCGAAATAATCATTTAGAATTTTTTTTTGAAAAATTTGGGATTTACGGGAGTTGAAATTGAAAGTTGCTCGGGATTTCAACCATCTGAAATCATCAAATTTTTGGATTTTTAATGATGAGTCATCGTGATGAGCTTTTTGGTTCGATCCTCAAGTTTAAAGATATTCAGTACTTTGGCTCTTTTTTCCTCCAGTGGAATGCTTTTCCACTTTTACTGGCCAACTTTCATTATTTAAACTTGTATTGATGCTTTTATTATTTAAACTTTGCAGGTCTGAATTTGAATTTCGTTATTGAACCGTTAGAAAATATTTTAAAAGTCTAAAACAAATTAGAGAGTTTACTTTTGGGGGAAGATGTAATAATAAAAAAATTACAATTTTTAAAAATTACGAGCATTTTTTATAAATAATTCATAACCAATTAATTTTCCAGCATAAAAACCATTTGTTTGGAATCATAACAATTTATTCATATTCAGAATTTTGTCTAAAATCGACTTTGTGCCTAAAAAATTAGGTTTTCGAAAATTTAAACAATGTCAATTGTTTATTTACCAATTGTTTATTTAGCCAATTAACAAATTTGATGATTGAAAATGGTTGAATCTATAGTATGGTCTATACCAAACTGTAGAAGATACTTGGATATCCTTAAAATATCTTTTATCACTTCATCAATGTAGAAATCATCTTACGTTAGAAAGAGGAAGGGAATAAACTGGACCGTTTCTAAAGTTAAACACGAGGAATAAAAAATAATGTTAGTTGGGCAGATTCTCTCGTATTCGAAGAAAACTCTTGGAGATGGCGCAGATTTTTTTTCATGTCCTTCTGTAGATCTCGATCTATTATTGGTGATTAGAAATGGGCCATTTTGTCCCCCTCGTCGTCACACAAAGGGAAAAATCCCCGAAGAACTACTTTGCTAGGCGGTAAAATGGGTCCATTTTACCATCTCGCACAGTAGTTTTTCTAGGATTTTCTTATTGTGGCATCCGGATTTTTTACTGACCCTTTTTACCGCAGATGGGCTCACGTTACCGCCCAGTAAATAAATTCGGATGCCGGTAGGGAAGAATGGGGTAAAATGGTCACTTTTGACTTTTTTTGAAATGTCAATGATTCATTGATTTGTTGATGAAATGGATTTTATTTTCAATGGAAGGTACAATTCTTTACTTTGTGATAAGCCTAGACTGATCTCAATTGATAAATTTGTTTCTGAGATGTAAATATTCCAGAAAAAGTTGAAAACATCCACTTTACCTCCCTTCCCCATTAGAAATCTTATCATATCATATGGTAATTTAAGTTTATTATTCGCTTCGAATGTAAAGAAACGTTTATTTTTGTCACAAAGTCCACAAAAATTATCAAATATTAATTTTCCGCAATTTTTTCCTCCGTGTGTCAAAAAAAACATATATTTAAGCGCTCGAATCACAAATAATTACCGAAAACGAAGACTCATACAGAGAACATCCGTTTCCCAGGATTGCATATGACTCTTAACACAAGAGTTATCATCAACACTTCTCACACGTCCCTAAAACCAACGGTAGCGTTGAAACCTGCGTATCAAGTAAACAATAAAATACATCATTTACGGCACTCGTTAGTGCGGTAACCGCAGTGTCATAAATACCCGACGCGCACAGCCCACCCCCGGTTGTCCCCGCAACTACCTGGGTCCCACAATATTGTCAATCAGTGGGTTTTTATAGCTCTGTCCGGAAAATCGGACCAGAAATTTCTGGCGCACTTTGGAGACGGTCGGAACCGGAAAAAAAATCAACAGGGAAAATCCCCAGAGACGGCGCTCCGATCTTTCTCCGTGAAATTATATACTTCTTCCAATGCATGAAATATTTATGGAGGCATTATTCGTATCTCTACGGAGAAAAATCATCAGAAATGAATTTGAACAAATTCAAGCATTGATGCAATTGATTCAATTGATTCAGTCATTGATCAATGATGTATTGGTTTTTAACAATTTAATGTGGTATTTTTTTCATCGAGAAAGATTATAAAAAAATTATTAAATTAATTCAGTAACTATAAAATGATTTAAATAATAGAATAACCATTAATCTTCAAGAAAAAACTCGAAAAAAAATTTTTTACTGGTTGATTCCTCATCAGTTATTGAGTATTAAAAACATTATTCAATAATTATTCGACAACAATCAGTAGCAAATATGAATTTAAGGATATCGAAAGTATTTCGGCTGTTTTTTCTCGAGTGAAATGCTTCTCTACTTTTGCAGAAAAGCATTTGACTTTAGTATTTTATTATTTTAACTTTGCAAGTCTGAATTTGAATCTCGATTTGAATCTTGATTTCTAACGGTTCGATATTGAACCGTTAGAAATCATTTTAAAAATCTGACAAAAAATTAGAAAATTTACTTTTAGAGGAAAATTGCTGAAACAATTTTAAAATGGCAGTTTTTTAAAATTACGAGCATTTTCTATAATTAATTTAAAAACAATCAATTTTTCAGCATAAAAATCATTTCAATAGCGAAGTGGTAAAACGGTTTAAGTCGACTTATCTCCCACTTGAGTTTGTGAAGAATATTTCGGAATCTAAGAGAAATAGCGAAATTTTCGTAATTACATTTATTATAGCTCTCAATCGGCTCTACAAAAAAGGTTACAACAAAAATATCGGTATCTCCCTTAGATTCCGAGATATTCATTGAAAACTGGCCAATAGTCAAAATTGACTTGTACCGTTTTACCACTTCGCTACTGATTTGTTTGAAATCGTAACAAATATATTCATTTTCTCACGCAATTTAGTTGACAAATTTGATGATTGAAAATGTTTGAATCTATAGTATGGTATGGTCTGTACCAAATTGTAAAACATACTCGGATATCCTTAAATAGACCCTTCCCATGAGTAAAATGCCAACGTGTGAAATACACAGCAGTTGGCATTTAAACTTCCGAATTCATGTGAAAATAACGGCAGATGTTGCTGAACGAATCACATCATTATTAGCAGGTTGGCTCGTGGGTGAGGGGGTCTCTTTAGCCGCGTCATTTGCTCGTCAATCAGTGCGTTTACAGGAAAAAAAAAACAGCCGAGTGAAAACAAAAAGAGAACGCACGAAACTTGAAATTATTGAGTTGATTCATTGCATTGGGGTGAATGAGGCGCCGGCTTCGTGACCCCTCTCTGTAACACTGCGAATGATGCGGCTGTACAGGGATACTAACGACGTGGCCGAGCAGATGACGGTGTATGTCATTTCCCCTTTCTCCTCCCCCGCCCCCTCTTCGGGATAATCGAAGTGCCCTCGCCAATGCCCATCATCACGTGTGTCGCAAACACATGGCGCTGAATTCCCATGCACTATGTAACTGTTCGACACCTTATCGTCGACTGTAATGGACTGTGAAACTGCCTCAACTCGTTATACTATCGTAAATCTTCGAGTAATTATTGGGTTTCAATCGAAGAAAACTGACAAACATTTTTTTTAATTTCCTTATTTTTTAAATTATTGTTTGGATTCAATGCACTGGTAGAGAAAATTATTTTTATTGAGATGTTTCTTTCTTGGAACAAGTATTATATATACTTTAACCAATTGCAAATAAATAAGGTCTTACGGTGAATATTCATTCAGCAGTGAAGTGGTAAACCGGTATAGTCGATTTTGACTATTGCCCAGTTTTCAATGAATATCTCAAAATCTAAGGGAAATAGCAAAATTTTTGTCGTAACCTTTTTTCCAGAGCAAATTGAGAGCTACAAAAAAGAAAATTACAACAATTTCGCTATCTTCCTTAGATTCCGAGATATTTTTTGAAAACTGGCCAATAGTCAAAATCGACTTATACTGGTTTACCACTTCGCTACTGAATTATTTTTTCTTGAGATACATTTACTTGAATCAAATAAAACAGTCCTTGGCGTCAAGTTACATGTATTCACCACAAAAATGGGAAAGTTCTATTTTTTTTTAAACCTAATATAATCTCCAGTCGAGAAATTTTCTATTTTCATGAATTGATCAAAAATTCGTACGCAGGAGATGATTATATTGAGGAATGAATTGAATGTTGTTTTCTCGAATGAAACCGATGTTTAAATTAAGCTTTCCGCACATCACATTGAACGAAATTTGCGATATCGAAGTTTGCGTTGAATTTCCGTAATCTGCGATTCTGTTATTGTAAACTAATGCGATTTTTTTAGTCAAGAAATAGAAACTTTCTTCAACTTAACGACATCTGACTACAATCTTAAAACTTCTTCCGCGTAACAATATTCACCCTGATTCGACATACGAAATGCTCACTTCAATTATAATCTACTTGAAACAACGTATGATCGTGTTGATTGAGATAACAACGAATTTAGTCATGAGAATAATTTTGATTTTCGAGTAAACCAATGAATTTCTGGAGTTAGCGAACTTTTGGCTAAAAAGAAATCAAATATTCTCATTATTGCCACAAATAAAAGGAACTTCAATTCTAGGGAAGTTCGATTTCTCCCAATCAAATGTATCTCAAGAAGAGACAACTGCTATTCACTATGATATCATGTTTATTTGAAAATTAACAACCAAATGATAGTTGGTTCAAATAAAATTCTCTTGATAAAATTAATTTTTTCTGTCAGTGTGGGGATGGAAAGTTTAGCGATAGTTAGGTTGCGTTATTCAGTGGTTAGACGAATAGGATGCAACAAATGTCAGTGGTTGAACGGATGAGAATCGATAATAATCTAGATATAAAGAAAATTCTGAAGATGTCAATTAATTGATGAGTATTGTGTTGTTTTCTGCAGCAACAAGAAGCTGGATTTCTTTATAATAGACTCGCTAGCCTCGGAGTTGAGACTTGTGAAAGTAGAAAACACGGAACGTTTCAGGGGGATGTTAGGGATAGTCGCGCGTACGCTGTCAGGCGCGTGGACAGAGGTGATGCACTTGACGCAAGACGCGACTGTATCTCTCAAATAAATTCGACTGTTATAATTTTTCACTTAGAATGAATCTTGAAATAAATTCAATGCGAGTTCATACAGAAGAAAAATTCTGTTAAAAACTACCCGTGAAAATATTACTACTACAATTTGTATCAAAACTCTAGTAAAAACATGCAATAACATCGGTATGAATAATAATTTTATGTGAAATTTCAGTAGCGAAGTGGTAAAATGGTTTAAGTCGATTTTGACTACTGGTCAGTTTTCAATGAGTATCTCGGAATCTAAGACAGATAAAAAAATTTTTGTTAAAACCTTTTGTGTAGATCGAATTGAGCACTACGAAAAAGGTAATTACAAAAATTTCGTTATCGTTCTCAGATTCGGAGATATTCCTCAAAAACGAAGCTGAGAGCTAAGGCGACTTAAATCGTTTTACCGCTTCGCTACTGATTTCTACCTAAAAAATTATAATTTTCAACAGATTTTTGATAAAAAGTTGTGCAAGCACAGGGCTGAGTTTCAATAACAATTTCTCTCTGGGCGTCACCCAAAAATATCGATTCACAATTAAATTTTCTTCCGCAAAAATTGAGAAATTAAAAATAACCTCTCTGCATATTTTCTTTTCTCTTATTTAAAACAATTCCGACGTTTACTGTGACTGTGTGAAGCCAAAATTTAAGTTAAAAGTTACCCCTGAAAACACGCGACGGATAATTTTAGTATTTAATTTCATCTTCCACCCTCGGCGAAAAAATAGAGAAATTTAGCGTCGAACACATGAGACTCAGCGCCGGTTTGGAAACTTTTGTTAAAAAATGGTCGAAAATAATTGATGAGCTCTCCACTGCCTCCGCACAACTCCGGGGGAAAAAAGGCCTTATTCGGGTTGGGGGGAGCCCGATGCTGGGCTAAAATACAGCCTTTAACTTTACTAATAAAAAATTCAGGTGGGATAAGTTATCGAGTACGCCCGTTCTGCCATTTCTCTCACTTTTTCCCTCTTTTTTTCCTCCCTTTCACTGTACATTTAATACCCCCAGTGGTAGTAGTCATCCGAGTTGCGTGAGTCGAGTTGTGACGAAGCTCGATGAAAGGACAGTTCTTTATTTTCTGCATTATGCAGAAAATTGGAGAGACCTTCAATGAAGTAAGAGCGAATACATTTCGCTACCCTATCATTCAGCGGGTGCACATGTGAATGCGCTTTCACCGCTCTTCGAGTGAAATTCATTATTTATTTATCGGGAAAGAGCCTAGCTGCAGCTTTTCCTCTAACTTTTACCTTCGGTTGCGAAAATTTGACGCCGGAATGTCTGGGGCTCAACAGGTTGCGAAAAAAACAAATTTACAGTAATTGACAACGATGAAATTTCCTCCAATAAGTCAAATGTGCAATGGGAATTTTCTTCCACTCGTCGATTGCTTCGAGATTTCGAGTCGAAGATTTTTAGGTAAAATGGTTCTTTTCAATTCTCAATTGTATTACTCGTGATCGAGATAATGGGATTATGAGCCGATGAGATGAGTCAGATCTTCAATAAATTTTGAATATGAATTTCGATTTGTCGATTATGATGGAATTCAGCATTACAATAAGAAATGTTTTGCTTCTTTTGTAGACTATTCAGGTAATTTTCGAAAAATCTCTTTGTACAATTATTCCGATCAATTGATATTAATGACGAAAATAGCTCACATTGATTCAAACCGTTTTACCTCATCTCCCTCAAATCAACATTGCCACTTTTCTCACCAAATAAAGACCATTAAGGATGTCCAAGTACTTTGGCCATTGTTTCTCCAGTGTCATGTTTTTCTACTTTTGTAGTCGAACATCAGAGCTTTCATTTGGATTCACGCAATAAATCCAGTGAAGCAAATGAGTGAATTTCACTTGGATCAGTTTTTGAAAAATATTTCACAACTAGGGATAGCCATATTCGTAAATTATAATTACCGTTAAGTTTTGAAGTAGTCAATTCGTTAATATCACTCTTAAATTTTTAATTATTGAAGTAATCAACAATTTCAATATTTAAATTCCGAATTATTTAATTAATTGATAATTTAGTTGAGAAGATTGACGATTATTTGATTAATCGAAAATCCCATCTGACCCCAGGCTTCCGGACATTTTACAATGATTTTATTATTTCAACTTTGCAAGTCTAAATTTGAATCCCGATATTGAGTCATTAGACAACATTTTAGAAATCTGAAAAAAAAATTGGAAAATTTACTTTTGGAGGAAGACTGACGAAATAATTTAAAGATTGCAATTTTTGAAAATTATGAATATTTTCTATGAATACTTTATAAGCAATCAATTTTCCACCATAAAAATCATTTTATTCATATTCAGAATTTTACCAGAAATCGATTTCATGCCCAAAAAAAAAGGTTTTCCAAAGTTTCAACAACTTCAATTGTTTATTTATGAACAAATGTAATTTCAATGACACTGAATATTCATAATTTTTTTCAAATTTTTCTCATACAATTTGATTGACAAATTTCATGATTGAAAATGGTTGAATCTATAGTGTGGTCTGTACCCAACTGTAAAAAATACTTGGATATCCTTTAAAAATGTGTTCCTGGCTCATAGAATCTACGTCTACGTCTACATCGAATGAGCCTCAAGTGTCCATCGAATTATTCGATCGATACCAATGACAAAATACCAGAATAGTTATCAAATCAGACAAGTCAGATCTGCAATCACTCCTGAGAATAACTTTCCATCAATTCCTCAATTACCCTAAAATTCATCATCTCAATAAAAACCCCTTCGACCTCTTTCATAAATAACCCCCGCAATCCCCAAAAAATCTCGTTCCACAAGTTTCTTCCCAATTGCTAACAATTAGAATGACTCCCATCAACTCGAAACCGTTTACCCCGACTGAACCCCTCCACATTTCCCACCTAATAATGACCCCTGAAAAAGCATTTTCCGATCCCGTCATTTCCCCCATCCCGTCCATTGAATTGTCACATTTATTTTGAGTAGAAAAACCCGTTTAGAGAAAACACGGAATCACAGTTGAATGACACCCCATCCCCTCTGAATACCCATCGATTTGTCGCCAAGTTAGCATCTCAATACCTGTCGTCAGTAAGGCGAAAGGTCCTGTTAAAATCCAAGGATCTCTTCATTCCATCGCCAATCCCTCAAACATACATATATTTTGTTCCCTCACCATAAAAGAAGACTCCAGTGCTCCGCCCTCGCACCCATTGAGCTGGCCGAGTCCTCCTGAATGAGGTGGGGTAGAACTACTGAATGGACCGGATGTGGCTGCTGGCCCCGCGTTATTCACAAAAAACATTTTCAAGTGAGCAACGCAGAAACACGACACTCCATCGTATCACGATCTACCAATCAATCCAAGGTCTCCTTTATGCCCATTTAAACGAGCATTTAGTGAGGTCCTGGACTAAATGCTTTCTCATTCACTGGTTGAAAAGGCCCGTTGTCTCCAACTTACCTGATCCCTCCCTCCCCAGTGGTTGGGGACTCGAATAACAAGAAATTAGAAAATAAAAAGTTGAGATGGGAAATATCAGGGGCAACTTTCGCCGTCAAGACGGCAATACGGTTAAATGCTTCAGTGAGGTGGCAAAGGACCAGGTGCTAAAGGAATCTCTATTGTTCTGTTTTAGGTCGTATCCTGTATGACATTCCCTGCAAGGTATGCCGGGACCATTCCTCGGGTAAACACTACGGGATTTTCGCGTGCGATGGTTGCGCCGGATTCTTCAAACGCTCGATCAGAAGGAATCGACAGTACGTCTGCAAAGCCAAGTCCGAGGGAGGATGCATGGTTGACAAGACACACAGGAATCAGTGCAGAGCTTGCAGGCTCGCCAAGTGCATACAGGCTGGGATGAACAAAGATGGTAAGTTGATTCATCTAAAAGAGGGGGGAACAGAATCGGAAACAATTAAGGAAATGTTTTGCGTCGGTTACGCTTGTGGGAAAGGGAGATTAAGGTAGACCTTTTGTTTTTCTCCAGCCGTCCAGCATGAACGAGGGCCACGAAACTCTACACTGCGCAGGCAAATGGCACTGTACTTCAAAGAGCCCGAAATGATGGGCAGCATGGTACCACCACCCGCTGGTGCTCTCGATCTTGCGTTACCAAAGCCACCGAGTGAGCCGAGGGTGTCGGTCGCACCGCCACCAACACATCATCACATGCCACATCCGATTTACTGTAACAGTATGTCTGTGAGCAAGGTAAGGGCAGTTTTACTCATTTAAAAGAGATTTTGCGGTATGTTTGAAGCAGTGGTGCCGCGAGACGAGAAACACGGAGAAAATATTCAATAAAAATTACGTATCTTTTCCGTAAGTCCGGAGCGAAATGGGGTTGTAGGAAATTTTACGGAACTCACCCAAAAAAAGGACTGATTCAAGTCGACGTCGGTTTCGATTCTAACCGATTTCGGCTTGATTCAGGCCGAGTCACTCGGACTAGGCCAATCCGAATTCCGGGTCTGATTCAAGTCGAAAAGAGGTTTATTTCAAGTAGAAACCGGTCCAGCCGACATCGGTTTGAATCTACTAAAAAATCGGCTTGAATCAAACCAAAAAATCGACCTGAATCAAACCGAAGTCGGTCTGAATCAAGTCGAAAAATCATGGCGTCAATTCGGCATGAAACAAGTGAATTCCCGACATGATTCAGTCCGACTTGATTCAGACCGATTTTTCGGTCTGATTCAGACCGACTTTTTTACTGGTGCTGTCATGGAATTTTTCCAGAGCGTTCCGTAATTTTTATCTGAATCTCTTGTGAAAAATTACAATACCGTCACTCAAATTATCTGAATCGATTCCGTAATCGGTGAGCGAATTGTGAGTTCCGTAATTTTTCCGAACGTTTCTCTCCGTGCGGATATGCATGCGACGTTCTCAACTCAAGAAATTTTATTGTCAGACCACGTCGATTTTTCTCTCAGTATGCATATTTAGGCTTGAAGTTTTTCTACATTATTCGGTTTCTTTCCGTGACTTGACACAAGTCAGTGAAAGGTTTCCAACTCAAGTCAAGAAGATTTCCGGGTGATTCGATCTTAACGAGTCATCGTAGAAGACATGATCAGAAAGCTTCCTCACCAAATTCCGTTCATTTGCTTCACCGTTCATTTGCTACACGTAAACATTAGAATCAGCGCTTTAGATGCAATCAATCACTCAGCAAATAAATCCCAAAAGCTAAGACTTGTTGTTTATCCTTCCAGATGCCCGTAAGCGTAGGAGGAATGCCGACAATTCCAATTCTCCCCTCAATAAGCGCGGAGTCTGTTTGCGAGCAAGCAGCCCGTCTCCTCTTCCTGAACGTCCGTTGGGCCCGCGATTTGGCCTCAGGTACAGGTCTAACAATGGAGGACCAACTAAACCTGCTCGAAGCCTCCTGGAGAGAGCTGTTCCTCCTCGCGGCAGCGCAGATGCTGCCCAACCTAGACCCCTCGTTCCTCCTCACCCCAGGCCCAGAGGGCCTGTCACTCGCCATCGAGGTGACCAGATTCAGGGAAACACTGGCAGGATTCCACTCCATGAATCTGGATCCCCACGAGTACGCGTGTCTCCGAGCGATTGTCCTCTTCAAAGCTGGTTTGGACTGCGAGCTGGTCCCCAGCAGTCGTAGCAGCAATGGATCTGTCTCGCCGAGCGTGGAACGAAGGCTGAGGGATCCTGTGACGGTAGCAAGACTCAGGGATGGCGCTCAATTGGCACTTGGCGAAAGGTTATCAGCTTCTTTCAGCTCTGGACCTTCTCTCGGGGCTCTGAGATTCGGAAAACTACTTCTACTCTTGCCAACTCTCAGGTCCGTCTCGGCGCACGCGATTGAGGAGCTTTTCTTCAGGAGAACCATCGGGATCATTCCCATCGAAAGGATCATCTGTGACATGTACAAAGCACCTGAGAAAATTTGAGTCCAAACAAATATTGTTAGGAAATTTATCTTCTTGAGGAATCAGTTTAACCAAAAGTATTGAAAGTAAATTTGTATACTTAAATGATTTCGCTTGAACGAATGTGGATTGTCTTTCATATTTAATTGGAGTATTCCCCGAAATCATTGAAAAATTGTGCAGGATAGTTGATATTTTTGTATCGGTTAGGATTAAAAAAGCTGCACACGAGGTGCGCAGCAATGCAATAACCACTCATTCTCATCATCGGTCGTTTTGAGATCTTGGAGATCATGGCGGGCATCAGAAACCCTCAACATTCGCGTGGGTTCTCGATTGCGTTTGTTTAAAAACTAGTTGAGAGAGATATTTATATAATATACTGGAGTATATGAGATATTACGTGGCTCTTGAGTTGAGCCCCTTAAACGCCTGGATGTGTATAAATGTAATATAATTTATCAAAAGTTTTCACTTAGAGATTTAATTATTATAGTAAATTAATGTTACCGTTTAGGAAAGAACTACCGCAATTACATGTTCAATGTAACTTGAGATTAAAATAGTTGTATGAGGGACTATTTGTAGATGTACATATAGCTTTTGAGACTGTCAATAGAATGTTGAGAAATCACTGCGAAATAAAAAACATTTTTATTGAAAATTTCAGTTGTTCTGGTTCGTTTTTTCATTGGGGATTTCAACAATTTTGTGTTTCGGGGCACAATGCCACAAATTTCACGGACATTTCACGGTTATTTGAGTGGTAATCGCTGCACAAAAGGGGAGCCTCTGTCGTCGGCTTGGAAAAGTTGTAATCATCCACTGGGTACAGGTAAATAATCGCCCAGGACCAAAAAGGCTCTTTTCACTTTTTCTTTTCGTTCTCCATTCTTCAATAACAGTTTTTCTTCAAATGAGGTTTTTAAAAACGCCAGTGGAGAGTCTTTGTCAACATTTGTGTCACGCTCCTATTGTTAAATCAGTTCTGTTATTTCTAACGATGATCCTCCAGTCAATATTGTAGTATAAAACCGATAAATGGACAGCCTAATGTGTACACAGGTTGGTACAGTTCTTTATGGAGTCGTTCATCATTAGTTTATCATTTTTTTTCGTGTTTTTTTTATTTGCGGGGATATTCTGGGGGAGATCGGGATGTTTAACGGTTTTTGTTCGGCAGGTAGAGGGGAGGCATTCTCACGAATTTCAGAGGAGAATTCTCTTTTTTTATTTGGGTTGAGGAGTGATGCGGGATAGGGATAAATTGTTCTGGCGCTCGATCTCGTTCTAATGGTTTAAGTGACTCTTGTTCCACGCATGACTGATTCCTGAAATGTTGTATGCCACTTCAGTTTGGGTTTGTACATTCTCGCCAGCACCCTGCTGTCTCTCGGGGGCTATGGGGTGATGTGTTTGGTAAATAGGTGTTAACATAATTCAGAAGCAACAGAATTGAGGATTTTATTCGCATTGTAGAAAATTTGGAAATTGTTTTTTAATTTTTCGTTTATATTTTTTTTTCCGTGGCATTTTGCTGTTTCACTGCATCTTCCCATGAATTTTGAATTGATATTAAAATGGAGAATGAACAACAGGTTCTCTTCAGTTTGTGTGTATCTACATTTTTGCCAGCACTCTGCTGTCTCTCAGGGGCTCTGGGGTGATGTGTTTGGAAAATAATTGTTAATATAATTCAGAATAAAAAATTTTGCGAAATTTCTCTGCATTGTAAGAAAATTTGGAAATTGTTTTTCAATTTTTCTGTTACAATTTTCGGTTTTCCATGTGACGGGAATTTTGAATTGATGTCAAAATTAAAAATGAAGACACGATTCATTTCAGTTTGTATGTATCCGCATTCTTCCCAACTTTTCCAAAAATATTATTTATTCAAATCACAGGAATATGGGCTATTTATACTGTCAGTATGTTACATTAATAAAAAATTAAATTTGTAAATTAGAATTGTTTAAATATTTCCATATTTCTTCCACGTATTTGTGGTCGGTTGCATCTGCGAATTTTTTTCGTAGTGTAGCGCCGTGAGCAATTGGTTTTTATGAATTTATTTAGTAATCCTGATCGTTGCTGACTATACTTTGGGCAGTACCATAGGACATGATCGAAATCTTGAGTTTCTGCTCGACAAGAACATCTTGCTAGGATCTTGCTGGCTCTCAAGGTCTCTGGGATGATGTGTTTGAAAACAGTTGTTAACATAATTCGGAAGAAAGAATGTTGTGAAATTTCTTTGCATTGTAAGAAAATTAGAAAATTGTTTTTGCATTTCTATTTTACAATTTTCGTTTTTTCGTATGATTTTTATGTTTTACTGCATCTTTGCATGAATTCACGTATGAAAAAATCGTATAGAAATTTTCTATACGGATTGCGTATAGAATTTCTAGAGAATTTTCGTATATGATATTCGGATATTTCTATACGGATATTTTTTATACAAATTATTTCTATACGATTTCTATACGTTTGACCCTATACGACCCACTGCCTCATTTATAGAAACATTTCGTGTGGAGTTGCGACGTTTCTCTACGTTTTTCTCTGAAGCGTTTAGACATCTTTCGTATGAAAAAAAAAAATTACGTGAAAAATTATGTATAGAAATAATTCGTATAGAAATATCTGAATATCATATCCGGAAATCTTATAGAATTACTATACGCAATCCATATAGAAAATTTCTATACGATTTTTTCACACGTGTTCCCATGAATTTTAAATTGATATCAAAACTTAAAATGACTAAAAGATATTCAATGCAATATCTCATCGGATTTTCAGCTTCTATTTTGATACATTTTTTGCTTATTTGGAAATGTTCTCCTCCAGTTCGATTTTTTCGCTGGGTTTGGATTGGGTAATTGTGAGGCAAATATTTTTTTCAAGTTCGCCGTCAAATAGGATCCATTACCGCGAGCAAGCGTCGGCCTATCGTTTTGACGATAATTGCAGAGTCAACCGTAAACTTCACTGAGGCATCTGTTGAAACACGAATGTCGGTCGTCCTTTTGGATTCAACTTCTCTTTGTCGCACACTGCCTCCTCACTCCCACGCTCTATTCTGCCTCTTTCCGTCTTTCGGAAATCAACGCACCGCATGGAAAAATCTCAAGATTAAGTCAGCCGACCGCCTGCGGACTCTATCCAACCGGGCCACACCGCCCCTAGATTTAGAATGGCATTATGAACTGACAAATTACCCAGGTAAACAGTCCGCCCAGAAGTATCAGTATTGTAAAAGCCGGCGTCTACATTTTCCGCATTTCAAAATTTGTTATGAAGAGACTATTCCGGGACAACTATTTCGTGCATTACATAAACGAAAAATAATAATGACTAAATTAAAAAATTACCACAATACAATTATTACATGAAATGAAAAAATGCATGAATAAATTTTAAAATTATTAAAAAACGATCATTCTATTTGTTGTTGGGAATTTTAGTGATGAAAAAATTTTAATAATTGCATTGAGTATTATTTATTGTTCGACTGAAAGTATTAAATTAAAGTTTTGGATTCTTCACGATGAGGGAGATCGCCCTCATCATGAAGAATCCAAAACGAAGAGCCCAATCGATTGTGCCCCGTGAATCAACGAAAAACAACGTTTTTCATTTTCAGCTTCAAAATGGTCCAAGTGTCTCAGTTTTCATGTGATTGACCATTTTTTTTTCACAATATTCGTTAATCTCCAAAGAACAGGGGTATGCATCTATTCGACAATCCATGGAACGGATAATGATAAAATTGGAGTGAATGAAAAAGGTAATTAAATATTTTATATTGCTGGCGATGAAGAGACTGTTTTTTTTCAAATTTTCTTTCCACTCTTAATAATGAGAAATCCATGCAAACTCTCATTGTCTTCTTATGGAAGGGAACAATCACACACTGTTAAAAAAATTTGGCTAAATTTTCCGGAAAAAGACATGAGTTCGATTTAAGGGGAACAAGTCAATGGAAGTTCAGGTTACATTGAAAATTCAAGTAAAGTCGCAATTTTTAACGACAACGAGACAAAAATCCCGCAATTTACATGGATTGTCAAGTGCAAATGAATATTCACTGCTCAATTCTCTCAAATTTACATGGAATTCCTTTAAAATTCGTGCAATTCCGGAAATTTTTGAAGGAACTCGCTGAAATCTCAGAGGGATCTGGAATTTAAAGGGAAATTCCTCTGAATTTCATGATTTTTTATTAAATTTTCCAGAATAATTAAACTGAAATTTAAAATTTCGTCGGATTTTTCCATGAAATTATGAATTTTCAACGACAAAATTTCTTAAAATTTCAATGGAAAATGTTTGAGTGTAATGAAAAAAAATTTTTATTTTAGATACACGTCACTGATTATCAGGAATTTATCCACAATTATTTGAGGTTCGCCATTGAAAATTTCTGCGAGAGCAAAATTATGAAATTCAGTGATTTTGTCACCATTTTTCAGAGACCTCAATTTCCATCGAAATCGTCTTTAATTTTGAGGGACCGATCCCTAATTTTCAGACTAGTGTCACTAATTTACAGAAATCAATTTCATGTCTAAAAAAAATAAAGTTTCCGAGAAGTTAAACAATTTCAATTATTTATTAATCAACAACGAATGTTCAAAAACAATAATTTTATGCAAAATAATTAACAAATTTGATCACGAAAAATTGTTGAATCTATAGTATTATCTGTACCAAACTGAAAGATACTTGGATATCCTTAAATCGAATTCAATGCCTTTTTCGGAAAATTCAGCCAAATTTTTTTAACAAAAATGGTAATAGATTCCTGACAATCCCTGCCATCTTCCTAAAAATCAAAACATTTTTTCTCCGTGCCGTAAAAACTCCAGTTACAAAAAAAAATGGATAATCGCTACCGGCCCACCACCTTCCCCTGCAATTAGCATCTCGATTTAATAAACCCCTCGAATAATCGAATCCCATGCCGTATGTTACCGATTTGTATGCGTGTGTCGTCGTAGAAGTGGCCGACCATA